CGGAAATTTTGAGTAGTTTGGAGAACTGGCAAATGCCACCTCTGGCTGGTCCCAGAGTGGAGTAGGAATGGAGAGTTTGCAGTATCTTCCCACAGGCATGGAGTGGGAATGGAGATTTTGCAGTATCTTCCCCCAGAAGTGGGGAGGGAATGGGGATTTTGCAGTATCCTTTCCCCCAGGACTGGGGAGGGAATGGGGATTTGCAGTATCCTTCCTCCAGGAGTGGGGAGGGAATGGGGATTTTGCAGCATCCTTCCCTCAGGAATGGGGAGGGAATGGGGATTTTGCAGTATCCTTCCCCCAGGAGTGGAGTGGGAATGGAGATTTTGCAGTATCTTCCCCCAGGAGTGGGGAGGGAATGGGGATTTTGCAGTATCCTTCCCCCAGGAGTGGGGAAGGAATGGAGATTTTGCAGTATCCTTCCCTCAGGAGTGGGGTGGGAATGGAGATTTTGCAATATCCTTCCCCCAGGACTGGGGAGGGAATGGGGATTTGCAGTTATCCTTCTCCCAAGAGTGGAGTGGGAATGGAGATTTTGCAGTATCTTTCTCCTGCCACGCCCACCAAGCCACGCCCACCAAGCCACACCCACAGAACTGGTAGTAAAAAAATGTGAATTCCACCACTGGTGGAAAGTACCTTGGAGGTCTTCTAATCCAGGCCACTGCCCAAGGCAGGAAAGTTTATATCATCCCGGACAAATGGTTGTCCAATCTTTTCTTGAAACCATCCAGTGACGGAGCACTCACAATTGGGGGGGGGGGGGAAAGATGTTCCATTGATTAATTGTTTCACTGTCAGGAAATTTCTCCTTATTTCCAGGTAGGGTCTCTCTTTAACAAGATTCCACCCATTGCTTCTTGTCTTACACTTACTTTCTTTGGAGAATAAGTTGACTCCCTCTTCTCTGTGAGAGCAGCCCCTGAAGTGCTGGAAGACAGCTATCATATCACCACGGTCCTTCTCTTCGTTAGGCTAGGCATATCTAGTTCTCAGAGACACAGTGGCTCAGTGGCTAAGATGCTGAGTTTGTCAATTCGAACAGTTCAGCGGTTCGAATCCCTAGTGCTGCGTAATGTGGTGAGCTCCCATTACTTGTCCCAGCTTCTGCCAACCTAGCAATTCAAAAGCATGTAAAAAAATGCAAGTAGAAAAATAGGGACCACCTTTAGTGGGAAGGTAACAGCGTTCCATGCGCCTTTGGTGTTTAGTCATGCCGGCCACATGACCACGGAGACGTCTTCGGACAGCACTGGCTTTGAAAAGGAGATGAGCACCGCCCCCTAGAGTCGGGAACGACTAGCACATATGTGTGAGGGGAATCTTTTTATTTAGTTCTCAAAATGGCTTCAAGCAATAGTTAAAACCGAGGGGCAACTTTTCCTGTTGGAAGGAGGACAGAGTACAGATAGTTCTCAATTTACACCAGGTTACTTGGTGACCATTCAAAATTAGGACCTACTTGAAAAAAGAGACTTATGACCCAGATCTAACATTCTGAGGGTCGCTCCCATTCCAGTCCCATAACTGCACATCAAGTACTCAACAATATAGCCATATTTATAGTCCTTTGCAGTATCCTCAGGTCACATGACCTCATTTTATTGTGGTGTTCATTGAATGACTGCTACCAAAAAAAAAAGTCATAAAATCAGATTGATCGCTGACATTATGGGTAGAGTTTGGGACTGTTTCATTATCACCTTGGCCATCTATTTCTCCATTTCTGCATTATTGAAGTGTACATCTGTGATGAAAAAAACCCTGTCAAAAACTGTGATGTAGTGGCAGAATTTCTGCTTTGCTTGGCATTTATCCAGGAGTTAGCTCAATCAATATACCAGAATAGAAGCACAAGGCATCTCAGAAAAAAGGAAGTTGGTGCAGTCGTACACATGTGCCTTGCTCACGTAGGCACGGATAATATAAAGACAAATAGAGAATCGTAGGAAAAAGCTCATGTTTCAATTGTGGAACGAGTTTTAGTCACTCATACCTGAATTGAGGAAGAACTGAACACAAGGCCTCCTGGCTGGAGACTTCTGGGAGTTGAAGTCCACACATCTTCAACTGCCAAGGTTGAGAAACACTGTAATACTTGCACACATGAGATTTTTTTCAGTGGCTGATGCTTACAGGGACAACTGTGTGCCCAAATGCTGCTCAGTTTTGTATCATCTGTCCCAAACTGACCGTCTCTAGATCAGTTGTGACTACAATTCCAAGAGTTGCAATCTCGATGTATTTGGAAGACATCTCTAGCCTGTAATGGAAGGGTCTTCAAACTTGGCAGCTTTAAGACTTGTGAACTTCAACTCCCAGAATTCTCCAGCCAGCATAGCTGTAGACCTCGGCTGTAATGTATCTGAGCCTATTGGCTATGTTCACACAATGACCTTATCAGATACAGACCAAGCAGGCACAGTCATGCAACAGTCTCAGCTTGCTTAGTCTCAACCTCATTTAGCCATTTTTCAACTCAATTATTGTGCAAACTCAGCCCTTTTGATTATTAGAATAGAATAGAGCTGGAAGGGACCTTGGAGGTCTTCTAGTCCAGCCCCCTGCTCAAGCAGGAGAACCTACACGATTTCAGATAAGTGACTGTCTAGTCCACGGGTGTCAAATTCGCCACATCAAAATGCTGTCATGTGACATTTCGTGACATTTCCCCCATTTGTGGAGCTGGGGTGGGCGTGGCCTACGTGTGACGCATCGGGCCCGTGGGCCACCAGTTTGACAACCCCTGGTCTAGTCTCTTCTTAAAAACCTCCAGTGATGGAGCGCCCACAATTTCTGGAGGCAAGCTGTTCCACTGGTTAATTGTCCTGTGTCATAGAGAGGAGAGAGATAATTTCTGAACTTTTGCCTGCTAAATCCCTTTGAAGTCGGGTTGTCGTGGAAATGAGGAGGGGGAGACATTCCTGGGAAATGACATGACAAGAAGTCTGGAGAATGACTTGGAAGATAGCCAATGAGAAGCAGAGAATTGGGGATCGGAAAGGGAGGGATTGGGGGGCAAAAGTTCAGTCTTGTCCGCACTGAGTCATGATCCGGTGGCTGTGCTTAATTAAAGAAAAGATTTCCTTAAAGATTGGCAGTTTGGAAATTCATTTATTTTGAGATAGCATCGAAGTCTGACATCCTAACTATTAGGAAATTTCTCCTTAATTCCAGGTTGCTTCTCTCTTTGGTTAGTTTTCAACCATTGTTTCTTGTCCTGCCCTCTGGTGCTTTGGAGAATAATTTGACTCCCCTCTTCTTTGTGGCAGCCCCTCAAATACTGGAATACTGCTAATTCTTCGTTTCTTTAGACTAGCCAGACCCAAAACCTGCAGCAGTTCTTCATATGGTTTAGTCTCCAGGCCTTTGATCATCTTAGTTGCTCTTCTCTGAACTTTTTCCGGAGTTTCAACATCTTTTTTGTAGGATGATAGCCAAAATTGGTTACGGTATTCCAGGTGTGGCCTAAGGTTTTATAAAGCGGCACTAATATTGGAGGGTTTAATATACTATGCGAATCCAGCAGATGAATTAGTTTAGGAACCATGTCTCACAGTCGCTGCATATTTCCATTCTTGGAATTTTCTGGAGAATTCAAACAGCTTCTGTTTGCAAGCTTCCCCTCTTTTTTTTCATAGCTTTCCAGTCTATTTCTCCTCCCTTCCCCCCCCCCATTTTTTTAAACAGGAAACTCTTTATTGAGTGTGAGAAGTCTTTGGAAATGCCAAGTCAGACACTTTTGAAAGCATGTTTTGTTTCTCATTCCAGAGTGTCGCAACTCTGACGTAAAACTCGGAATTACTTTAAAAAAATGACGCTGAAATTTAAGAGGGGAAATTGTCACTGCCTGGAGATTAAAAATATCTTTTCCTTGGTAACTTCAGGCCCGAGGTCTCCAAATGTATCTTATTATAAAAAATGTAATATGGGTAGTCCGCGACTTATGACAATTGTGCCCAAAATTTCTGTTGCTAAGAGAGACAGTTGTTAAGTGAGTTTTGCCTAACCCTAACCCTAACTTTTCCTGCCACTGTTGTTAGGTAAATCACTGCAGTTGTTATGTTAGTAACACGGTTGTTAAATGAATCCAGCTTCCACATTTTTTTTTTAATTTGATTTATATGCCGCCCTTCTCCGGAGACTCAGGGCGGCTTACAATGCGCTAAGCAATAGCCTTCATTCTTTTGTATATTTATACAAAGTCAGCTTATTGCCCCTACAAACTGGGTCCTCAATTTACCTACCTTAGAAAGGATGGAAGGCTGAGTCAACCTTGAGCCTGGCGAGATTCGAACCTGCAGTAATTGCAGGCAGCTGGTCTTAATAACAGGGTGCTTTAGACCACTGTACTACCAAGGCTTTGACTTTGCTTGTCAGAAGGTCGCAAAAGGGAACCATGTGGCCCCGGGACACTCCAACCATCATAAATAGGAACCAGCTGCCAAGTATCAGAATTTGGTCATGTGACCATGGGGATGCTACAATGGTTGTAAGCGTGAAAAACAGTCATAAGTCAGTGTTGTAGCTTTGAGCGGTCACTAAACGAATGGTTATTGTATGTCGAGAACTACCTATATTTTAAAGTTATTGTTGAAAGCTATTGTATTCCAGAGATTGAAGCAGGGCCCCTGAATCAGGGGTGAAATCCAGCAGGTTCTGACAGGTTCTGGAGAACCGGTAGCGGAAATTTTGAACAGTTCAGAGAACCGGTAGTGGAAATTTTGAGTACTGGTTATTCGGAGAATCGGCAAATACCACCTCTGGCTAGCCTCAGAGTGGGGTGGGAATGGAGATTTTGCAGTATCCTTCCCCTGCCACGCCCTCCAAGTCACACCATGCCCACCAAGCCACGTCCACAGAACCGGTAGTAAAAAAAAATTGGATTTCACCACTGCCCTGAATGGTTTAGATTTTGTTCTTCTCAAGGGAGATTGTAGAAGATAACCCTGGAAGGAAGATGCTCTTAGATCAGAATGCAAAGAAACAGGGAGCCAATGGCAAAACCAGTCAGCCTCTTTATTTGTAATTATCAGAAAACAAACCATCTATAAATTAGCATGAAGACCAAACAGATCGTTCTAAAGCTGATTTCTTTAAAGAGGTATCTGCCGGGAAAAACTGTATTGGTCAAAGCCTCTGTGGGCAAACCTGTCAGCCAGGACTATGCCACGTATGGCAGAATGATTTGCTGTTGTGTGTGTGTGTGTGTGTGTGTGTGTGTGTGTGTTTTAATGCACGTAGAAAGTAGCATCTTGAGGAGGCTTGCCTAGGACCTTCTCTTCCATGCACGTACAAGAACTCTTCTCTCTTAGGAGAATATCTCCCCATGAAGTCTGAAGGTGTCAAGACAGCCAGCCTGAAGATGACACTTCCATACTGGCGGTTCTATAAGGAATTTTCTCCTAGGTCTGTCTCAACTAAGAGTCTCAAGTGTGTTTGGAGGGAGATCCTTCTTGGCTGTGCTCCAATGTCTGGGATTTTCTCCACTTCCCTGGTGTTTTTCTATTATTTGGAAGATATGTGGGTAAGCTACGCTCTCAATGATCATGGACAGGGGAAATGTGAACAAGTTGGCATTTAAACAGAATGGGTTGGAGGGTTCTACAGTTAATGGCCATTAAGCTAAGAGTAGGGGGAGGAGATCTTCCTCTCCCCCAAATGAGCAGCCCTTCCCCCAAGTCTCAATTTCTAACTAACTCTTTGTGCACCGTGTCTATGGAGATTCTCAGTCATCCAGGTTATGGTTATCCCAAAGGTGCTTTTTCAAAAGACAGCTGGCTTCTTGGATGAGGAACGAAACACCTTCAAGGAAAAACAAAGTCCAGTTGCTTTTGGAAAAAGCACCTTTGGGACTTGTGCACCATGGTTGTTATCAAGTGTAATCAAAATAACAAGGCTACATCATTTTTTATGACAAAGGTTGACACCTGTGACCATGTGGCTGAACCTTATTGCCCATTAGCCTCTGCTACCGTGGCCAATGATAGAAGCCTTAACAAGGGCAGGAATACATAGTTGATCTACATCTTCCGGTCAGCGTGGACAATAGTGAGGCATGTGGGAGTTGTAGTTCAGCAACACCAGAGGAGCCAGAAGTGTATAGTCGGATTTTTAAGTGTACATAGATGGTTTGTGTGCACCTGGAAAAAGGTGTAAATATAAGCAAATTAGATCTCACGGACTCATGTTATCACATCATCAGAACTTCTGAAGTTTGGTGGCAAATCCAGTTTACTTTATGCCCAGGCTGAAATGCTTCTCCTCTCTCTATAAACATGTACTGTAAAATACATCAAGCGGATCTACAATCTCAACGTACATATGACCTGAGAGATGCCATTCTTTCAGTTCAGTTACCCTTACTAATCCTTACCAGTCCTATCTATGCTGGCTTTTCTTGGCTCACTTGTTCAACTCTTTTTACCCACTCATTCTCTATTCCAGGGGTCCCCAATCTTGACAACTTTAAGACTTTTGGACTTCAACTCTCAGAGTTCCTCAGCCAGCTTTGCTGGGAGTTGAAGTCCACAAGTCTTAAAGTTGGCAAGATTGGAGACCCCTGCTCTACTCTTTCCTCCTGAAATATCCCATCGTGGTTCTGAGCCAGGATGCACGTGATCTTGCATTACATGGTCCTGGTATAAGAATGGGTGCTCTGTGGGCCTCTAGATGTTGCCGAATTAGAACAGCCAGCATTATGCTCTTCTTGCATTACCACTTAAGACTGCTAAATTGCAGTTTAGCAACATCTGGAGGGCCAAAGATTGCCCATCCCCATTGGGCTGGTTGCCTAGTTCTGTATCAAGGGGCCATTTGCTCCTCTTAATTTGCATTGCATTATTCACACAATATTCACTGATCCCACATTTGGTAGATTAATATACTGGCTGCAAGAGAGTGAACTAGATGCATTCCCCTTCTTCAGGTTGACCTTCTGCATTTTTGCTCCATCTGTAGACTTCAGCACCTCCTGGCCTATGATCCAAACCAGAAGGACTCCTCTATGTATCAAGAAGCAAACCTCCTCAACACATCCATTGCTTCAAGGATCAGCAAGAAAAAATAAAATAAAATCAAAAACCAGCTGGCCTCAATGAGGCTAAGGGCTGTGGCTTCCTTTGAGGATAGAGCTGCTTGTTAAGAACTTCTACCCCATCTGAATCCGGATTAAAAAAAAGAAGAAGAAGAAGGGTTCCCATGCACATGGCAGGCGAGTGGGGGAGAAGCTGCCCTCAGAGATGGTGGTGGGGTTAGCAGGTCCTTAAGGTTTCACATAATGGTGCATCGGTTCCTCCGTAGGGCCCCCTGGAAGCGGATGGCAGTGTGAACGTGCTTACATCGTGCACAGCCCACACTCTTCAGAAGTTCGCTGAAGAGCAAGAGGATATGCCAGTTGTATTTGGCTGAGCACTCAATGTAACCGCACTTCCATGTCTTCTTCACAAGGTTGGAGACATTCCAGCGGGGGATGACCCGGCCTTTCTGGAGGTCCCGCTTGTTCCCAACAATGATGATGGGAGTATCTGAGGTTCCAATGACTCTGGCGACAAAGAAAGGAAAAAGGTCTTGTGAAGAGTTTGACAACCCAAGCCAAGGTGGTAGAATAAAGGGAACAATTAGGAAAGGTAGGTGTCCCTCTGGCCACAAAGTATGGGAATTATGAAAACTGTAATTCCCAACCAACTACTTCCTAAATTTCTGAAAGACCCAGGTAGAAAATATCACAACCCAAGAAACCAACCTTTGTTTCCATAGTATCGGCCAACGTAATTTTTTCAATTATTTTATCCACGAAAGTCAATAAACTGGGAATGTGTTGGGAAAAGTAACATGAAGTCTCTTTTGAGATGATCATTGCAGGGAGATCTCCCTAAAACAGGGGTCTCCAAACTTGGGACCTTTAAGACTTGTGGATTCCAATTCCCAGAATTCCCCAGCCAGGTGGCTGGGGAATTCTGGGAGTTGGAGTCCACAAGTCTTAAAGGTCCCAAGTTTGGAGACCCCTGCCCTAAAAGATGGCCATCCCTGGAACTATAGGTTAAGTGGCTGCATGGCATGTGGGTCAGTCATATGCCTTGGGGACAGTGAAATGGCTACAGTTCGGGAGGCAGAAGGTATTGACTTGACCCAATTTACATTCCCACCAGTCCCACAGGTCTTGGTATAAGCAAGGCAAGGGCTCTGCTACTGGAAAAAAAAGTTAATAACAGAATAATAACGGAATAACAGAGTTGGAAGTGATCTTGGAGGTCTTCTAGTCCAATCCACTAATCAGGCAGGAAACCCTATATCATTTCAGATAAATGATTGTCCAGTCTGTTCTTTAAATCTTCCAGTGTTGGAGCATTCACAACTTCTGGGGGCAAGTTCTTCCATCGATTGATTGTTTAACTGTCAGAGGAAATTTCTCCTTAGTTCTAAGTTGCTTCTTTCCTTGATTAGTTTCCACCCATTGCTTCTTGTTCTACCCTCAGGTGCTTTGGAGAATAGCTTGACTCCCTCCTCTTTGTGGCAGCCCCTGAGATATTGGAATACTGCTACCATGTCAGCCCTGGTTCTTCTTTTCATTAAACTAGACATATCCACTTCCAGCCACCGTTCTTTATATGTTTTAGCCTCCAGTCCCCTAATCTACTTGGACTTCAGTAAGGCATTTGATAAAGTAGACCATAACCTACTACTTGATAAAATAGAAAAATGTGGGTTAGACAGCATCACCATCAGATGGATTTGTAACTGGCTGACCAACCGCACTCAGCGTGTAGTCCTCAATGGAACTGCATCTACATGGAGGGAAGTATGCAGTTGGGTACCCCAAGGCTCTGTCTTAGACCCAATACTCTTCAACATCTTCATAAATTATTTGGATGAGGGGATAGATAGGGAACTCATTAAATTTGCAGATGACACCACTAGCAGGAATAGCCATCACTCCAGAAGATAGGCTTAAGATACAGAAGGATCTTGTCAGACTTGAACATTGGGCGCTATCTAACAAAACGAAATTCAATGGTGAAAAATGCACAGGTACAGTATATGTGCTACCTTGCTCAATAGTAGTAACTGTGAGAGGAATCTTGGAGTCCTAGTGGATAATTATTTAAATATGAGCCAGCAGCTGCAGCTGCCAAAATAGCCAACACAGTTCTAGGCTGCATAAACAGAGGGATAGACTCAAGATCATGTGAAGTGTTAATACCACTTTATAATGCCTTGGTAAGGCCACACTTGGAGTACTGCATCCAGTTTTGGTCGTCACAATGTAAAAAGATGTTAAGACTCTAGAAAGAGTGCAGAGAAGAGCAACAAAAATAATTAGGGAACTAGAGGCTAAAACATATGAAGAACGGTTGCAGGAACTGGGTATGTCTAGTCTGATGAAAATAAGGACTAGGGGTGACATGATAGCGGTCTTCCAACATCTCAGGGGCTGCCACAAAGACGAGGAAGTCAAGCTATTCTTCAAAGCACCTGAGGGTAGGACAAGAAGCAATGGGTGGAAACTAATCAAGGAGAGAAGCAACCAAGAACTAAGGAGAAATTTCCTGACAGTTAGAACAATTAATCAGTGGAACAACTTGCCTGCAGAAGTTGTGAAGGCTCCAACACTGGAAATTTTTAAGAAGATGTTGGATAACCATTTATCTGAAGTGGTGTAGGGTTTCCTGCCTAAGCGGGGGGTTGGACTAGAAGACCTCCAAGGTCCCTTCCAACTCGGTTATTCTATTCTATTCTATTCTATTCTATTCTATTCTATTCTATTCTATTCTATTCTATTCTAGTCTAGTCTAGTCTAGTCTAGTCTAGTCTAGTCTAGTCTAGTCTAGTCTAGTCTAATTGTCTTTGTTGCTCTTGACTGCACTCTTTCTAGAGTCTCATCTTTTTACATTGTGATGACCAAAATTGGATGCAGTACTCCAAATGTGGTCTTACCAAGGCATTATAAAGTAGTATTAACACTTCACGTGATCTTGAGTCTATCCCTATGTTAAGGCAGCCTAGGACTCTTGGCTTTTTGGGCAGCTGCAGCACACGGCTGGCTCATATTTAAGTGATTGTCCACTAGGACTCCTGAGTCTTTGGAGAGGGGCGGCATATAAATTAAATTAAATTAATTAAATTAAATTAAATTAAATTAAATTAAATTAAATTAAATTAAATTAAATTAAATTAAATTAAATTAAATTAAATTAAATTAAATTAAATTAAATTAAATTAAATTAAATTAAATTAAATTAAATTAAATTAAATTAAATTAAATTAAATTAAATTAAATTAAATTAAATTAAATTAAATTAAATCCCACTCGCAGTTACTACTATTGAGCCAGGTATCACCTATACTATATCTGTACATTTGATTTTTCTTGCCTAAATGTAGAACCTTACTTTTTTCACCGCTGAATTTCATTTTGTTAGATAGGGCCCAATGTTCAAGTTGTACAATCCTTCTCTCTGTCCTTGCCCATCCAACAAACAAAATTGAGCCCAAAGAGCTCCTTGGAAGCAGTGGACAGCCAACTATTTACAGCACCTCTAGGGATATCAGTGATTTTTTAAAGAGCCCTTGTATCATACTCTACTTGCTTCCATTCACTTTGTTAAATGAGGATTCCTGCTTTTTATAGGATCCATATCCTAATCCTGTTAACTACCAGCCCTGAAGTTACTCCAAGCAGAAAGAGGTTGACAAGGACTGCACATTCGCTATCTGGGAATTTGTGCTGGTTTCTAAAATTCCTGGCATTAACATCTGGGTCCCCTCCCTTCTCTGATCTCAAGTCCAGGGTGGGATGAAGCAGAGGCATATTTTTACCTTGTTTCTAGGATCTGCTGCCTAATGGTTTTGACATACTCAAAGCTGTCAAAACAACAGATGTCATAGACCAAGATGTAGGCATGAACACTCCGGAGGCCTCGGCAGCACACGTCCGCCCACTCCTGCAACACAGACACAGAGAGGGACAGATCAGGGAACACACAGCACACAGCTCCCCAATGGTACCACCCAGCCCACCCACATACCCACAGCTTGCATCAAGGGTGGGGAAAGTTTGCTCCCATTGGGTATCCAAATGCTCTGATCAATTCTTAACTAGCAAGAAATACTGGGGGTGGGACAGCGAGAAAGAATCAGAAAAGGAAGCCCACCAAATTCAGTTCAAAAATGGAACTAAAATTAAATAGAAAGAAAACCAAAAAAAAATAGAGCAACTAGTCTTAGAACTGTCAACGGTGATATTGAAGCGATAGGTAGTGTTTGATTTTTAGAACGGACAGTCAAGAATAAATAATCAAGAAATACATCACTGACTAGCACTTGGTAGGAAACCTGTGAAGGACATGGAAAAGATATTCAGATGCTGGGATGTTTCTATACCTACAAAGATCGGAATTATCTAAGCAATGTTTTTTTGGTGACACTTCATAAAAGAAAAAAAAAAAGAACATTGAAGTTAGAGTTTTGGACCGCAAGAGTTTTCATGTATTTTGAAATTTGACAGAATGTTGAAGATGATTAAGAATACCATAGATAGTCAAGAAAAAGAAATACATCCTAGAACAAATTAATTCAAAGTTCTAACTTGAGGCAAAATGTCCAAGTTTAAATTATCATGAATGAAGGTGAATATACATGTCCCAGGATAACATTGCAAGATCCAATCTCAGTCGGTCACCAGGATCAGAGATTTTGTCTTCTGAGCTTCCAGACTCGTGCTGGAGCCCATCCTCAAGGAACTTCTCTCTAGCAGAGCTTTAGATTATCATATTTTGGGCACACAATGTGAAGTCATATCAGTATAGAGAAGTTCATAATGCTGGGAAAAGTAGAAGAAAAGGACAACCAGCAGGAAGGTGGCTGGATTTAATCACAGTAGTGATGGGTGCACCATTGGAAGAACTGAAAAGCCAGGTTGGGAACAGATCTTCCTGGAGAAGACCTCAGTATGTCACAGAAGTGAGTACACCCCCTCACATATTGTAAATAAGTGTATCTTTTCATGTGACAACACTGAAGAAATGACACTTGGCAATGAGAGCGATAACACCAAATTTAACACGCCTGCTCCCCCTTCACACCTGAGACCTTGTACCACTAATGCGTCACATGACACCAGGGAGGGAAAATGGCTACTTGGGCCCCATTTGGACATTATCACTTAGGGGTGTACTCACTTTTGTTGCCAGCAGTTTAGATATTAATGGTTGTTGTTTGGCGTTATTTTGAGGGGACAGCACATTTACACTGTTATATAAGCTGTATGCTCACTACTTTACATTGTAGCCAAGTGTCATTTCTTCAGTGTTGTCACATGAAAAGATATACTTAAATATTTACAAAATGTGAGGGGGTATACTCACTTCTGTGACATACTGTATCTACCCTAACCCTAAGAATCAACACTGACCTGATGGCAAATAATCAGTCAATCATTTAATGGTAGGGCTGGTGTTGCCTTCAAGTATACAGTGACCTCTCTCAAAAATCCTCAGTCCCACATAATAAAAACAACAGTACAACGGAGACCTCAGTATTAAGCTTAAGACTATGACTAATCCCTTGATGTGAATTGCAGTATTTCTCTTTAATGCTATACTTAACTTTGGAAGAAAAGTCAAGCAATCTTATGTTCGTAATACTGACATCATGAATTACAATTCATACTGATAGTATTTTTACTCTTCTCTTTTTATTTTCCCCACTTTAAGCTTTCTAAATAATAGAATGTTCATAATTTTAATCATATTACATAAACAGTACTGCATTGGAATCTGCATTGGAATGATACAATGTCTCAAGATTTATAACATTACAATAAAAGAGAGAAAAAATTAAAAGAAGGCTATAGAATACAGGATTGACATTAATTGACATTATAATTTTAAAACACCCTAGTGTATGTCAGCCTGTTAGTATTCAGGTTTGAGTTTGATTCTTGTATTCAATTCACAAGTGTGAACCATGTTGCTTTCGTTTTATGGTAGAGAATTACCTGTTGTTCAAAAATCCAATAGACACACAACTTCTTAGTTTTGAGATTATTCAGTTTAATGAATTTAAGGTTAAAAAAAAATACTCTTCCATTTTTTAAAAATTAGTTTGCATTTATTTCCTGGGTAAGATTTCTATTCATGTACTACAGAGCTCATTTGTACTAATAACTGGTGAAAATCTTTTCAACTCTCCATTTTTTTCTCCATTATTTTCAACGGTTAAAAAAAAACACACCAGGATTATTATATTGGGTAGGATGAGTTGGATACTTTTAGAAGATTTTTTTCCTCCATGCAGGAAATGAGTACATTATATATCCATTAAGATTTTATAGCTTACTATTCAACCAGGAATGACCAAGGATAGACAAAAGAAGCAGTGGGAATAGGAGCAAATTTCAATTTCCTGATTGTTTCCCTGTTGAGTTTCCTTATGGAAATCTGGCAGGGAACATGGGAAATCTTTCCTTCCTTCCTTCCTTCCTTCCTCCCCACCCCTCCCCTCCCCTCCCCTCCCACATTGAAAATACAGTTGACATAGTCACAACAGCAGTCTAGCAACATCCAGGAGCATCTAAACTTCCCCAAATATCATTCCCTTGGGAATCATAGGTCCCAGTTTTGGACACATTCTTTAAATTAGCCCATTTGAGATACCTTAGTTCAAAAATTCTTGCCCTATGATGCACCATTTTGCCCAATTAAAGGCCATGACAACTTTTAGTTATTTTAGTAGTATGTGTGTGTGTATCTCTGTCTGTCTCTATCTCTAGATCTGTAGTTCTTAAACCAAAAATAGAGGGAAATCGAAGAACTTTTTACCAAAGGAAAAATCATTTTAAAAAAATAATGATAATAAAGAAAAACAGTAAATAGTGAAAAGATAAATAGAAAAGGAAAAGGAAAATATAAAGAAGCAGCTTTCAATCTTCTTGAGATAGATTATACATACATTTATGTTTTCACCTCTCTCTCTTAAGTTACATCATAATTTCTTTCTTTCCATAAACTACCCTTTCTAATCATCAAACCCATAACTCATAAGTTCATCAATTCCTTTTTTCAGCAAAGGAGTTTCCAGTCACTCATAAATGTAACGGTTGATCTTTCTTTAATCAAATTTTGCCATCTTATGTTTGTAATACTGATATCCTTGTTATTCTTTCATTTTCACTAACCAATTTTCTCAACTTTAGTCACTTTAAGATGTGTGGACTTCAATTCCCAGAATTCCATAGATCTGCCATCTATGGTTGCCAAGGAATTCTGGATGTTGAAGTCCACACATCTTAAAACTGCTGAGGTTGCTCTAGACAATTTTTCTGGAGTCTATGCCAATGGTATAGCATGTTATAAAAGTTATCTTTTAGGTTGCAGGTAGTTCTTCAGTTTATGAACAGTCACTTAACAGTTTGAAGTTATAATGGACCTCCTAAGAGCTACTTATGACTTCTTTTTGAAGTTGTGACAACTGCACCCCACCTCTACCATCACATGATCACATTTTGGGTGCTTGGCAATTGGCTCACCTTTAGGGCTGTTTGTTTCATCCCACAGACACAGGACAAAAAATTGTTATGGGTTTTTGCTGATTTCCAGGGCTTGCTTCTGGTTTCCAGCAAAAACAATGCCCATTGGGAAAATGGATTTTCTTAATGACTATGGTGTTCATTTAACAACTCCTGTAAAATTGACAAAAGAATTGGGTCCAGTCGCATGATGCCTCATTGCCTCAACTTATGATTGCAATGGCTTATAAGCGTAATTTTGGACTCGGTTTCCTGTTTCCTAGGCAGCATGTCTTCCCCTCGTCCCTCAAAGTCATCCATCCATTGTATTACAGTTCCATCATTATATTGTGTCCAAAGTTCTTATAGCATTTTATCATACAATCTTTCACTTATTCTTCTTCCAACTAAAAATATATTGTTTTTGATCCGCAAGAATTGTACAGTATAGCCACTTGCCTAGTAGCACTCGGCAGCCTGTTCACAAACCCTCCAAGTTCTTAATTATCATTTTATCGTGGCTATTGTTTCTATTACAATATGATTCATCAACTTCTCATACATTTTATCACCGGGTCGACTGCGTTACAGCAAGCAGCTGATAATGTTTTGCATTGCCCTATTGCAGTGATGGCTAACCTTTTTCCCCTCGCGTGCGCACATGACAGCGCAAGCGTGCGTGCCCACACCCATAATGCAATGTCCCTCCCGCACATGCGTGCGCAACCCCGCACATGTGACCCCCACTTCCCCCCCACGCATGCACATGCGACCCCCCTTTTGGTCTTACATCCCAAAACTGCACTGGGGGGGGAGCCTTGCCCCCCAAAATGGCTGGGAGAGGAAAAAAAGCCTCACCTCCCAAAACAGCGCTGGGAGGGGAATCTCGGGAGATCTGGGAAGGCTGGGCAGCAGAAAGTGAGGAGAAAGGTAGACCCCCCCCACATGCACGCTTGTCTCCTGCTTGCAGGGCAGAGACCTGAAAATCAGCTGGGTGGGAAGCGCTGGAGCATGCACAATAGAGCTGAGCTGGGTAACAGCTCACATGCCCACAGGGAGGGGTCCGCGTGCCACCTGTGGCACGCATGCCAAAGGTTCACCATCACGGCCCTATTGTTTTACAATGTATTTTTTCTCCTAACAAGGCTCCCAATACATTGTAAAGCTGTACATTGTCCTGAGCCTAATATTTTTGTGGGCTTGTCTTTTTACAAGCTCCATTTCAATTTTTTTTTTAATTTGCTAAAACATTTGGTAAACAGCTGGGCATTCCTCTCAATTCCATATGTGACATACAGAAGGATAATAGATGGCATTATTCACCTGCAAGATTAGCAAACATGTACAAAAGCAGGTCTGTTAAATGTTGGAAGTGCAATCAGACACTAGACTCATATAGCCATATGTGGTGGACCTGTCCCAAAGCAGAAAAATACT